GTCGTCGTCTCTACTACTCTCTCTCTCTCTCTCTCTCTCTCTCTCTCTCTCTCTCTCTCTCTCTCTCTCTCTCTTTCGTTCTACGATCTATGATTGTAGAAAGTAGTCCGTATCGAGCGTTTTTTACCATTAACAGACGATTTGTATTCAAACCCGCGCACGATACTTTTCTCTATACGATAGAAATTAAGGCAACGATACAAGTATCTATTAATATATAGAGCGTAGAGGAGAGAGGGGTAGCGAGAATTCATCGTACGTAACGAGGCTTCCTGCTCGATGTAACAGTTCGTGACAGATCACGAGCAGATCCGGCGAGTGTTATTAGAACGAGTTGCATTGGAAGATGCAAGATGGAATTCTTGCCCATGAAAGTTTTATTTTATTTTCTTTTTATTTTTGGCGAGCAACTCTCGATACATCCGCGTTTGAATAAATTTACGCTTTATCTTTGTCATTTCTTTCAATGTGTATATATATATATGTATATATACGAGAGAGAAAAATATTTTCGTGACTCGTCGACTCGTTCTCCAACGGATTAATGTAAAACAGAAACCGAGAGATCTACGCGTAATTAGCAAACCGGTCACTTCGTTCGCGTGAGATCGTAGGAATGGATGAAAGCGTGATACGATTTCGCAACACCGTTTCCCCATTTTATCCTAATTTAATTCTCTCGAAATATTCACTCTGCTCGTTTCCATCCTTATTCCCCATCTTACCGGTCACCTTTGGTATTAAGACGCGACAATAAAAAAAAGAAAAAAAGAAAAAGAAAAAATCATCGTCTTATTACCGCGTGTAAATCGCGTTTAACGAGTAGAAAGTATTCAATCATATCGTACATATTTCAATCATTGTATATGCGCCTCAATACACGAGAAAAAAAGCAATGGAAAATTAACTCGTAATTTCCTAAGGTTAGAGAACCACGGCGTTTTTTTTTTTTTTTCTTTAAATTAAACGCGTCCCACCGATCACACAGTTTCGACCGTGCGCATCGTTTAACCGACTGATGGAAAGTGAAATGATAACTAACACGCACGCGCATGCGCGCACACAGTGTACGAACCATTAGCCCGTAGATCCTCGTGCGTGGGCTGAAAATGGGAACGATGCTGCAGCTGGAAGCCATAGGCCGGAAGCCACGGATTCGGTCCGTTCACCAGATCCATATCCAACGCGTCGAACGTGGTCGGTGGCTCCTCCTCGTCGTCCTCTGCCTCGACGTCGAGCTTCGGCGACGACGCGAGCGTCGCCCCCGTTGAGGAAACGGTGGTCGCCATCGCGGTGATCGCTTCCTTCGTGCTCATCTCCAACCGGCGGAGACGTGTCCAACTGTGTTCGGTGACCGCCAGTCATTAACCGCTTCGCCGAGCTGTGAATCTTCTTCCCTCGTTTCCACCCCGACCCTCATGCTCTGCCCTCCAACCCTTCCGGTTATCGAGTCTCCGTTCTCTGCAAGTGGGTAAGAAATCGATTCGTACGGTATTCGAAAGGATTCGTGTTATGTATCGTTTCCTAACTCGTTTCTTATTCCCCTCTTATTCGAGAGAATAAGAGAGAAAAATTAGAATAGAAATTCTATTCGGGTGAAAACGGAAGTTCGCGAGAGGTTTAACGGGGAGGATGGGTGACGGAGTTAATTCTGACGAAACGAACGTTACATTTTCGTGGATAGAATCGAAGCGAGAAAGACTTTGTCGGTGGTTTATGAACCGTGGCGCATTCACGGAACTTTGAATGGCTGTTTCGAATTCTAAGCGGCGATTCAATCGTTGGTGATATTACAGAAAATGAACAGCTCGCTTTATAGGTGAAATTTAATGCCCGTTAGAGGAATCGTTAGGCAGGAGTAAGTATAGTAGCTACGTGGCGCGTATAATTTCGGTGACGCAATTTTCTGCTTTGCAGCAAATAACGAAACGATGCGGAATTATTTATTCTCGTTATCGTGGTTAATAGGCCAATCGTTCCAAAGAAACAGGAGGATATAAACGACCGTTATTTGAGAAATATAGATATAAAGATACATAAAGATAGCATTAAAGGTCTACGTTCTAAATCCACTTTTGAATTCCATTCGCACAAGATGTAGATTAGATGGCAAATATAGAAAATCGAATCGATTAGGTTAATAAAAAAAAAAAAAAAAAAGGGAATGGTGCCATTTTTATTCTCTTTAAAGAATAAAACGCGAAAAAATAAAGAAACACCTGTGTTTTGCCTAGCATCATTTTACAACAAAATTATCGTTCCAACAAACTGTTCACAACGAACTGCACTTAAGTTGCAATATCCCGTGTTGTTGATAATCGATTTTCAATACGAATACGTAACTCCGATCCGATGGAATCCGCGAGAATCGCCTTCAAACACCGACCATGAAACAATTTATTCTCAACGTCTCACGCCCATTGAATTCGAGATTCCACGAGGCGTTTTAATTTAAAGGAAAAAAAAAAAGCAAGAAAAAAAAAAACGTTACTCGCGCGAAGAAAACGCGTGGGTGTAACGATTGCCCCCTCCAAACGTATACCGGTATATACGTACACATACAAAACGCACCGTACGCTGGAATCCGTTGTCCGTTCGTATCTATACGATGTTGGACGAAAAGAAACGACGGTGGGTTTACCTTGTTGCGCGAGACGCAACGTTAAAATATTGCCACGAGCCGCGGATTTAAACGACGCGGTAGGAATCTCCGCGCGCAGCAAAAGTTACGCATGCGTAATTGGATAAGGATCGAGCGAGGTTGTCGCCCCTCGCGGCGATCCTTCGAGGCTTCTATCTTCCTGAAGCCAACCGTCCACCGAAAGCTGCAGCAAATTTTATTACGCTCGTATTTGCTCGCCGGACTGAAAAACGGTACGCGTGCTCGTAATTTCGTGACGACCCCGAAACAGAGAGAGAGTAAGAAAAAGAGAGAGAAAGAGGGAGATAGATAGAGAGAGAGAGAGAAAAGAGAAGAGAAATGCAGTTCGCAAAGAAATCGAAATATCACCGTGTATGTTTACCGCTAAGTTTTATTATCCCGATCCATGATTGGAATAATTGATCATGCTTGTAATTCCATTCGCATTTTTTTTAAATAAAGATCGGTTTGTATGTGAAACTCAGGCAAAAATTTAAGATCAAAAAATGTTGAGTGTAGATATTAAAGGTTAATAGATAGAAAAGAATTCTATCGTTTCTATCGTTCTAATACATACGCCACAGCCAAGATTACGGAAGAGCGCGAAACTTCAAACGGCACTCGATCTAGAATACTGACGAGATGTTACCCGATACAAACCACGAGATAGAAGAATGTTTTCTAAATTGATGCTCTTCCTGCGTCATTCGACTTATATAATATCATTCGTGGCCTCTCGATCATGTGATTAGTTGTTCTAATTCAATGCAGATCACAATTCTTTGCAAACAAGTGTCCCTTGTAGATACTTCATTGAATTTGTTGCTGAATCAGCTGATGAGTGATTATATGGAAGGTAGGATTAAATGCGCGTGACTGAATGATTATTGAATTGTTCAATTGAACAAAAATTATTAGATTTGAAAGAAGAACATAAAGGATTTTTTTGATTAAGATTTTAATCGATAGAATAAAAAAATGAAAGATAATGTATATATCTAAATATAATTCAACATTTTTAAGTAAAAATAGATTTCAAATAGTTTTAGTCAACTTGAATTAACAATTCTAAACTATTTCCATAATATTATATATATTAATGTTTAAAATATTGGAATTTTTTTTTAAAACAAGAAAAAAGAAAACAATATTATATGATAAGATTAAAATAATTATTTTATAGTTGATTTTTTTTTCAAGCTATTGTAAATATTAATAATAAATGGATTATACATTTAAGATAATGTTTATCGAATGATTTTTATAATATTGTATGATATCAATAATTCATGATATAGAAATTATTCTTTATTTCTAGTTATATTTCTTTTTAAAAAATTATTCAATATAAGACAAAAATGATTGATACGCATTTGACATAGACATGAAATATATTCAAAATAATACTAGCTACATAGTATGTTTTCGAATTGTCGAATCGAATTGTCTCAGGTTGCAACGTTCTCGTGTCATTTGTTAGTTGTCCTTGGCGGACAACTTCAAAGAAAAAGAGATACAAACTGTTTCATTCCGCTTGCCACGTCAGGCATATAGATCTTTTTCATAATTCCGACTAAACTACTTATATATTAAATATGTATTCGTTACCACAATGTATAGAATAAAAACATTAAAAGCATTAAAAATATTAAAAATTATTACTAAAGACGAAAAAACAGAAGATCAGTATACATTTGATAAAATCAATTCTTTGAAGAATAGATTCTCTGATTTTTTATAATTTCTATAAATTTTTTCATAAATTTAACTATATATTATTAATATAAATTATTTGTTTTCTTGATAAGACAACAGAGAAAGAAAATCAAATATTCAATAACCTGAATTTATAATACATGATTTTGCATCAAGTATCGCAACCTTTAACATGATTCTGTAGTCACTTTCACTTTACATAACGTACTTTAGCTGCAGATGTGTTTAGTAATCTGGCAACTCTCGCATGATTAACTTTTGTTAAGAAAAAAAATTGAACCTTACATTCATTGTGGTAATAATAAAGATATCTGATTTACGTCATAAATAAATTAAGATAATTACCAGAGATCCATTTGATTCTATGCATAGTAATAACTTTGTCGTGCTATGTAGTGCTTCAAATTTAAAATTAAATTGTATAATTATCGCTGTTGAAATGTACATATATCACACTTTTAAATTGATTATTTGAAACTCATTAATGTTATAAATATATTATAACTGTAAATCTAAAAATATTTTCCAGAATATAACAAATTATCACAATTATGTTAGAAAACATCGATACTTCGAGAAAAAAGAATAATGCACGATAACGCATCGTTTTCTCCTTCTTATCGACATCCGACAAAATAAAACGTATCATCTCGGTACACATTTCAACCGTGACAGCTGTCAAAAGTGGCGAAGCGTCCACGGTGCAATAAAGGCGCGAGTATAATCATTGGAAAGAGAAAGATAGAAAGATGAAAGAAAAGAAGAGAGAAAGAAAAGAGGAAAGAGAGGTGGATGATCGCGTAAACACGCAAGTTCTACGTTGTTACGAGTGAGAAGGAAGTGACGCATTAAGGATAAAGAAAGAAAGAAAGGTTAGAACCGCACAGTGAATTCCGAGTGCGACGGCGCGGTGGTGGATACCTGTCAGCGCGCATTCCACGATCCCACAGCGTGCTCTCGCCTCGTCGTTTACTACCACTAGAGTTTTGCCTTCCTAACGGCAAGAATGGGATGTAGTCGTACACACCGCCAGTAAAATCCAGAATGGGATTTAAACGCACGCACAATTTGTTTACGGAAAAAACGTATCACTTGCTACGGTAACCGGTGAATCGCGTGTTGTTCGCGGCGCGAACATGGCGCACAATTCGTATGGCGTTCAACCACTAAAAAGCACAAGCCCAGGAACAATGGGGATTCTCTACGGTGTGAGAGAAACTTGAAGGAGCGACGCGAACAATGGAACGTGACTTAAGGACACAGGAGAGCGCGAGAGCCAACTTTACACCGCGGGGTAAATACTAGAACAAAACTCGCTGCTTTCGCCCGCGGAGCGCGGCCGTGCTGGCCAATCCCCACCCGCGCAACGTCGCCACGTGGTACACAGCTTAACCAATCACAAACTGGTTACGCGGGGCCCCCCGGACGTGTTCGTAAAGCCGGCTTGCTACCGATCAGTTTCTTCTCTTCTTCTCTTGTACCGATTTAACATTTAGACAACATAAAGGAACACGAAAGGCCGCCGTCTTTTTGTTGATATATGTACTTGAATCGATTCTTTTTCTTTTTTTTATGCGACAATGTTTCACCGCTTCACGAGCCAGAAAATCGGTACGTGTGATTCGGAAGAAGAGATTGCAACATGATCAAATGAAAGATGGACTAAAATATCTTTGCCTTGTTGAGAGATAACACACTGAAGAAACTGGTATTGCTTGCAACATATACTACAGATAACTTACCGGTTTCTATTCCCACAATGATGGTTCGTAACATTAGATCTTCTAAATAAAATAATATATAGGACTACATGCATTTATAACATTCTTTAGTGATAGGTCAATTTGCCAACGCAAATTGTCCCCTCTCGTATATTCGTTTATCTTAAATTGGTACAAAGAGACGAGTAAAAACATTACACTTCCGTTGACGAGTCTTATTGCTTTGCTATGAAAAAGTGCCGCCTACTTGTCAAAACGTCTCGTTATTATCGCAAAACAGTCTTTTGTAGACACTTGCATTTATATGTAACTATGTATACGCGAGTAGCATGCGTTACATAGATTTGCATACACAACTCAATGGATCTGCGAGCGACTGAATAGATAACTACGAACATTGCCTTGAATCGTGATCAATAAAATCAACTTAAGCGATATGTCTTGTCGTTTGTTCCATAAGAACAATCAGATATCCAAATAGAAAGATTAGTCATATCTGCTATTCAATTACGTTTTCTATCAAAATAAAATAATCAAAATGCACAAATCAAATTTGATAGAATAAAATTGTTATATACTTCGTTATGATAACACACGTTACGAAATGTACACATATAATCAAAAAAAAAAAAATTTTTAATACAAAACTTGAGAAAATATTCGAATACGATATAATTGATGTAACAAAGAATTAAATTAATTCAAATTATCAGTTATTAAAAAAGTACATACACTCACAAAAAATTAAGACAGTAAATGTTGCATTATTTACTTTCTCAAATAAATATTGTGATCAAATATAACTGCACAATACTCATCAACAAACGATCCATCACGTTTTACGCAAGAGATATAGAATGACTAATGACGCAATGCTTCGTTCCACCGAATTTCTAACGGGTAACCTCTTTCGAAAGGATAGTTCGTTCGGTAGGTACATCGATCCAGTCACCAAAACGAACGACAGGCGGCTCTGAATTCGACTCGAGAGATCGCAGAATCCATCTCATAGCCATATGTGCGATGAGAGAAGTATGTAACGGGCAACTGGCCGATGGAATTAGTTCTTTTTTTGAGGCAGGTCACTGACACCAAACGGCGATGGATTGACGCGGCGGGGTCAAGTTCTACGTGCGTTGTCGACAGTACTTCGCGTTTAAAGGTATCGCCGAGCATTCCTTGCGGGATATCACGTTACTTACGGAACCATGATCAATCGTTCGAACTCGGCCTATGACTATAGAACGAAAGTTGTAACTCGTAAATCGTTGCGAAAGTTGCGAACGGTGTTGCTCGTGATAGCAAAATTCGGCTATGATATATGTTTATGTGAAAAAAATAAAGGGGAAAAGTGTTTCAGCGTTCATTTTAGTTTAATTTATGCCGAAATACATGGTATATATTCGATTATATTCGAATAACAGCAGTTGATAACCAGTAATTTTTGTGTACAATATTACCTATTTAAGAAATATATAGGAAATTCTCTAAAATTAACTTTTCTAATTGACTTTAATTTCCCAACGTATTAAATTGAAATTAAACTATACTCACAAAACAGCATTGTTGAAATTTTAAATTAGTTCTCACATCTTCTTAAGCCAAGACGGAAAATGTTCAAATGAATTCCTAGCATGAGAATGCAAATAACGGTGCTCACCATCAAGATAGAGGTTAGTAATTAATTATCAAAACGCCTTGAGGAACGCCTAGTTCATTTTTTGTTTCTTTTTTATTTCCATATTATTACACGTCAATTTCAATATACGCAGTAAATATTTCTTCATCAGGAATATCGACAATCTCATTTATATTAATCCTATTATTTAATCTCAATTTTATTAAAATCATTTCGCACACGAATGTCTTCAACGAAACGTGATTATACTTATTAATTAAGTATGTGACATAATATTTTTAAATAGCGATCATCGACTTTCAATGAAAATGTGTTCAAAGGTATTCTCGTTTTTACATATCCATATCCAAAGCGTAATCGAATTTATTATTTTTAACATTCTCTTCGAATATTAATTTATTCAAAATATCGTTTGGTATATTCCGACGTACTGACAAACAGTTGACGACCGCATGAATTTAATTAAGTTGATCAGATCCAATTAAAGACCCTTTATGTTCCTTTTATTGCTCCCTTTTTTGATTGAGACAGATAAATCGTCTATGGTGTTAAAAATAAAATCAACATATTTAAATATCAATAAAAAAAATTAGAATCATTAATTTTCTATATTAATTAGAGAATTGAATTAGTTGTCTATATTTAAAAAAAGAAAAATCGTATTATGAATATAAAAATAAAATAATCATTACAATTTTAGTTTTATAATAACTATGATTTCATTTCTTGGTATTAAAGATTTCGTGTGACGTATCTTATTTCATTGTGTTGGTTATCCTCTCAATTATGAATGGCTTTTTGATAACAAAATCTCACACAGATACGTTATTGTTGATTTCCTTTTTATCACGATGATTGTTTTATCAGAAAATTTTTCATTGAATTATCAATCAAATAACAATTGATGAAATAACGTTATGTAAAAATTATTTGTAAATTCTTTCTGTATATAAATATAGATATTGGGCGGACGATAAACTCTTCACGTATGTTCGTGAGAAGAATACATCACATTTCGTTTATCGCTTTCTCAAATCTCATTCATTTCAATTTTACCGCGTGTTCTAGATTTTTGTTTCGATATGTAATGCAAGTATATGTATTCAAATTTTTCACGCTATAGACAAATATTCTAAGATAATATAATCAATCAAATAGATTCGACAAATCTAGAGACTTTTAATTACTTAAAAATTAAATGAATCAAATTTTATGAAAATTTTAATATTACGATTAACATTTATTTTTTTTTCTTTTTTAGAAACCAAATGATTCCATGTACTTCCATGGCTTTTGTACAATTTTACTTGTTAAATATGATAAAGTTATCAAAAATGTTAACTATGAGAATGAAAATTTAGACGAGAGATAAAGAGAATTGAAAAGAAACCGATTTTAAGATAGTTAAAAGGAGTACTTTCTCTAATTTAAATTACTGTAGTGAAAGTGAGCATAAATTTTAAATAACCGTAGGAATTTAGTAACAAGTAAATATTATAATCAAGTGATTTATGATTGAAAAGAAACGATGCAAGAAAATTAAACTATTTATTGATTTATGCACATACCTGTTCAAAGGAATTAGAGAATTTAAATATATTTAATCCAATAACTGTCTTCTTCTATCTTAATATCATATTATCATTGAGCATTATCATCTTTTAAATATAAATTTATTATAGTAAAATAAAATTAATTATACATCAATTCCAAAATTTCATTATATTTTATATTCGATTAAGTTGAAAATATCATCATCATCGTCTATGGGGATTCAATCTATCTTCAATCTTCAATCCTGCTTGTTCATTTAAAATTTAAAATTCAAGGAACCAGAATAAGATACTGAATGCAACCAGTTCCAAGGCTAGGCCAATTTGTTTAGCTCCGCCGGTAGATTCTGAAGAAAAAAAATATAACGTAACAATATTAAATTATATTAAACGAAATAATAAAATGTATACAATCTCTAGGGATTTCTTTAATTTTATTCCCTAGAATATTTTCCTTCTCCAAAACGAATCGCATCGCAACAACGACTTAACGATAATTAAGAAATTGTGGTAAAAGATTAGAAGATAGATACATATATATATACAAATATGTCATATTATTAGAGCGACGAAGGTAAGAATTTCTCAAGGTCTATCCCTCTCCTGCTGACATTTTTCTCACCATAATCGTAATATTGCAGTATTTCCGTGACTTCATCCTCACACTCCTCATCATCCGCGGCGGCCCTGATCCGCACATGCCCATTCCTCCGCAGTTCGCCGACCTCTGCCTTACCCTCGAACGCCGCGTAATCGGACCTCGCCGCCTCTTCGACCCGGCGACCCTTCGCCGACTCTCTGAACCCGATCTAGAAAAGCCAGGAAAGGATTTACGGCTAAGTACTAACCGTAATCGCCAAGCGGTTCCTCCGTTTCGTTCACCGTGTCCTCGTCGTCGTCGTCGTCGTCGTCGTCGTCTTCGGGCCTCGCCACGGCGAAGAAAACCCTCTTCTCGTCGTCCCCGTCTTCATCCTCGTCCTCCAAGTCGTCCTCCTCGTCTTGGTTCCTGTAGTTCGCCTCATCGCCTAGCCGCCTTCTCAGAACGGAACGATAACCGCGCTCGTCTTTGAACCTCTTCCCCCCAACGACGCTATTCTCGCGCGCCACGTAATCGTCCTCCACGCTCTGAACTTGCAGAAGATTGCGTCGCGCCACTCGTCCCACCGTCCCGTCTGAGTAACACAACGTGTCTGAAAAGTGATACGTGATAAATGGGCAATTTGGGCCTTGAAACTCTACACTGCTCACGAGAATTTGTATGTAATAATGAAAAGGAAAAAAAGAAAAAGTAGATCTGTTATTGGAAGAAAAATATCGCGATATATCTACATTTTTCGTACGAATTAATCAAATTATTTATTCCTGGGATTTTTATCGAATTAAATTAATTGTTATTTGAATTTTGAAGATTTTTTTTCCTTTTTCGATAATAAGATACGGGAAGGATGAAAGTTTGTTCACACCTTCCAACTTCCTTTCACGATCATCATTCTCGTAAACATCGTCCAAGTCTATGCTGTTACCAGGATCGAGTTCTCCTTCGAAAGTGAATGTTCCAGAGTTACTCGCGATACACCCTTCGATAGAAATGCAAGGCTCTGTGAGTCTGGTCGCTCTCATAATTCCATCAACGGTGTTTACTTCGCAATAACATTTAACGAAGGTGTCCGGGCAGCTAGAAAAGTTCACACCTTTCGTCATGGTCAAGGAAACATTCGAGGGAACATCCTGAAAGGAGGAGGGTCGTTGGCTCACCAAAACGATCCTGGCCCGATACAGTCTATGGCCGGTTTTCCTCTAGTAATATTATAGTTTTGGATATATATATGTGTAATTGTTAATTTGTCTTTATCTATTAACTATTTTTATTATACGTTATTATACGTTTCAATTCTTATTTACGTTACTTGATCTTGGCACGATGCAATTTCTACCATGAAACCTCTGCCGCAACTGTTGTTGCATTTTGGCGTCGTCCACCGCGACCATAAGGAATTAATCTCTGCTGGGACTGAAGTGGAAGGGCCAATTTCCTCGCAGAACTGAAAATATTTCAATTTTTCTTAAAAATTAAAAAAAAACTTTTGAAATAGATAATAAAATACGGTATGATGATATTACCGGTTGTCTCTGATGGCAATTTGGATCACATTGAGACGTGTGTATTCCTTTGATCGTGCTCGCTGTGCATTGAGCAATGCCGCAGACCCCGCGCGGGGAACACAGACTTTCGGGCAGAGGATTCAAGAAACACGTTGGAAATCCTAAAAGTTATCCTTGTAATAATTGTTTAAATTTTCTATTCGCGTATTATTATTATTATTATTATTATTATTATTTTCAAATACTTGTCTCTGATCATTTTTATCAATAAAAGAAAAAGAAATGATACGTTACAAAACCTTTTGTCTTGTACAATCCTTGACCCGCTATCGGAATGGAACAGTCGCAAGTTGAAGCATTCTCGACGAGTGAAGTTATATCGCATAATCGTCTGTGAACTCTGGCACTTGTGTTTGAATATGGAGTAGCTTCGTTAAAAGTGCAGTCTGTTTTCCTCAGTTTTGTCAATTCGGGTGAGCACAACTCCCAAGTGTGAAGGGTCAGGCAAGGACAGTTCCCAAGAAAAAATTCACCGACCTCAGAGCTATCCAGAACTTTTGATTCGGAAGGTATGCTACGTAATTCGACGAACAACTAAATATTAAATAGAATTTGTATTGCACGAAGGTTTAAGCTTTGTTAAAAAAAATTTTTTTTTTTTTTTTGTTTCTTTCTTTCGAAATTATCGCACAGTTATTAAAATTCGTTTTCCGTTTCTATTTATACAAAATATATGTATGTATGTATGTATGTATATATATATATATGTATGTATGTATGTATGTATGTATGTATATATACATACATACGTATGTTCAATTAAATTGTTTGCAAGAAAGAAAGTATTTTGGACGAAATACTTTCTGCTTACAGCACAAAATCCTTCTCCGATTTCTACAAAAGCGCATTGCTGTAGATGCAATTGCCGTACCCAATGTGTTATATCGTAATTCGGTGATTCGTACAAATCTTTCGATATCAATAGAAATGGATCCCAATTGCTTCCATCCACATTGACTCCGTCAACGATACGACGAGCTTTCCCACGAGAAAGAATTAATACCGTGGATAAAAACGTAATTATAAACATAGCCTAATCGTTGACATCATAGAGACTGATAATATTACAGACAAACAAATATATAATAACTTGAAGTTGTTTCGCTTTTAATATTTTATTTATATTATATATTCTATACAATATGTTGTAAAATATACTTTATACAAATTTCATCAAAAAATCAAGCAAAAAGATATTCTTTCTTTTTCTTTTTTTTTTTTTTAATTAAAAATACAAACATAAATTATATGCTAATTTTATTTAATAGGAAATATAGTTTCATATAGTATAATCCAAGTGTAACTTTTATAATTATATTACATATAATTATATATATTTTTTATATATGATTTTAAAAGATGTATTTTTGAACTTCTTTATAATCCTTAAAATAAATTCTTAAAAGCAATTGGAACATAGCTAATATTTTATAATTTTTAACCATATAAATATATTTACAATTGTAATGTGTCAGGATAACTCACGCGTTGTATTCAGGTACAAGAAATATCACAAAAAACTTTTATTTTTATTTTGATGATGTGTAGATATTAAACTTTATATTCTATATAAATGATGTGTATCTTATAAAATATTGTTATATTGTTTGAATGTTTAATTTAATATTTGTCATAAATATTTATTCAGGGTTTTTTTCAAGATATGTTTTTGTTAAAATATCAATACGAAGATGTTTAAGTGTTACAAATTCTATACTTTTGCAGCCTATAACAGGGCATCTGCAAATACAATACATGATTAAAACTATCAGATATAAATGAATTCTATTAATAAAATATTTACCTTGTTTTTTTATTAAGTTTCAATAATTGCGTAATACTTTCTTTGTCATAAGTATGACCGCATATAGTATTCTTCACAGGATCTACAATTCTTTTTTTAGAAATTGGATCAATTATATTTATATAACCTCCTGTAAGTTGTAGTTCTTCATCTGTATTATTTTCTTTCTGTACTACTTTATCTGAAATACAAATAATTATTGTCAAATATCATCAGTTTTTTATATTACGTACAAAATATTACATATTTTTTTTTTCATTATTATGATTTTAAATGTACCTAATAGTGCTTCTACTTGTTTATCAAATTCCTTTAGTTTATTATCGTTTGCCACGTTTTTATCAATTTCACTTATGGCTTGTTTATATTCCTAAGATTTTTTAAACGTATATTATTTTTTTCATATAATTAAATATACACTTTATAATTTTCTATATTATATACTTACATTCATGGTAGATTCAATATTATGTTCAACATTATCATCATCATCATCATTATATAAACTTAATAATCTTTTCTTTATGATCTCTGTTGATTTCAACTTTTTATTTTGAATACAGTTATTTTCTACTATATCTCTTAATTCTTTTAATTTATTATTTCTTTCATCGCCATCTATAAATATAAAAATACAACAAAATATGAATATAAAATGATATAAAATTTATTTCATATTATTGAAATTAATGATTTAATGTTTAATGTTTATAATATGTTATGCACTAATTAATACGATTAAAAAAATAATAATTAAAAATATCATTAGTTTGATTCATTAACCTTATATATATGTACTTACCATAGTATGCAATAATATTAGCAGCAATTTTTGTATAAGAATCATATAACTCCTCGATCACTTGTTGAGACTGGGTCATTTTTAACAATATTTTCTTAATAATTTTCAAATTTTATCATCTCATATATTTAAAAAAATAATTATGCAACTATATAAATATTTTTAATATCCACATAAATTATTCGTTTTAATAGTTAAACAAAATAATCTATTTATTTCAATAATTAAATAGGAAAATAATACAAATAATAATATATATTCAAAAAATAAATTATTTATTTCTCTACTTCATTTATAAATTCAGATATTGAAACACTATAACCATCTAGCGGTAGAAAATTGGAACTAATCGTTAAATAAAAAAATCGAAAAATTAAAATTTCTCTAGGCAAAAATTTTTAACTTTCCAGATTTCAAATTTAATCTCAAATTTTCAGGAATAACTGAAAATTAATTTAATTTAAATAATATTTTCCGTTTCATAATTGTAAGAAACATTTGAAATTAATACAATTTATGGACACAAGTCGACATCTAACGATAGAAAGATGGAATTAATCAGTAAATAATAAAATTTTTTAATTTTTAAGATTTAAAATGAAATTAAATTTCAAATTAAATTCTTAGAATTAATTTGAGATTAATTTCGTTTGAATATCATTTTTTCTTTACTAGTTATTAAAAAATATTTGTAAATTTCACATTTTACATTTAATAATTAATTCCACTTTTTCACTGCTAGATAATAGAATTTGTCCATTTTATATTCTTATAATTACTAAAAAAAATAATATTCAAATTAATTAATGAATTAATCTCAAATAATTCTCAAGGATTTAAGATTTAAAAGTTAAAAAATTCAAATATAGAAACCAAGAAATTTTAAATTTTCGATTGTTATTTGGTGATTAGTTTTACTTATTCGTTGCTAGATGGCATTTCCTGTTTATAAATTGTATGTTAAAATGATTAATATTTGCTAAATTAAAATGTATATAAACAAAAAGAGTTTTTAATTATTCCTAAGAGTCTAAATTTTAATTTGAACTTGTATGAAAAAAATTTCATTTATATATTCAAAGTTTTTGATTTTGTCATGTTCATACTTCATGTATTATATATATGAAATTACTTATATATGCTACAACAAAAAAGAATTTTTTTATTTTCATTAATTTTATTAATTTTCGACAATTGAATCGTATATGGTTCTAAATTTTTAATATATCATAATGCTGAAATATACTTTTACCTTGATTACCTTGATCTACTTTCAAAAAAAAATCTTCAATTGTTTGCTATCTAGATAGCTTTTCGAATACTATTCTATAACAAACTATTAGACTTGTAATTTATAACTTAATTAAATTTTAAAATGAAAATGGAAATTTTTTTGTATTTATTTATGGTAAGTTTATTATATTATATATTTAAACAATTTTTTTGACATAATTAAAATGTGATTGACTTTATAATATATAAAGTATTAAATATCTAAAAATTTTGAATTTGTTTAATAAAATATTTTAAAGAATATGTTAATATATTAATTTTATTTAATAATTCTATAATAATAATATTGTAATTTTACACGATCGCTTAACATATATTTAAAATATCATGTATTATTTAATATATATTGAAGAACCAATAATTATTTATTTAGTTATAAATGAATTACCAATAGCAATAAATAAAATTACTAAATTATAAATCTAGATAATTTTTTTAAATAAACAACTTGTTGTGTAATCCATTTTGATAAAAATGTTGTAAAGACGTTTATCGTCTATACTATTTTGCAATTATTTTTATATTTTTATAAAATTCTTAATATAAGTTGTACATTGGTAAGGAGTGGTAAAGATTCGATTATTAATTATTATATGTGTTATATATATTTAGATTATTAATGTTAATTTTTAACATAAATGTATAATTTCTAATATATTATTAAATATATATATATATTATTTAAATAATTAATATAATTAATTATATTAATTATTTAAATTATAATTTAATGCATGTTTTTAAATTTGGTGTCACTTGTTTATAACTATCATTACTCACAATTGTTTTTTAGATGTTTATTAAAGTTAATTTTTCCACAACTTCTAAAATATCATATACTTTATCCACATTAAAAAATATTCAAAAATCTGTTGTGATGTCTAAATTTGATCTTCCTGATCGTTTAAAAGGCACTGAAAAATCAGTATGGTAAATAATATGTAATGTATTATATCAAGAATTTTACGTATGTACATATTTTAAACTAATTTTATTTTAGGGTAGAATATATTCAATTGGCTTTAAAATATAAACCTTTAGTAAATTTAGGACAAGGATTTCCAGATTTTCATGCTCCAGAAAATGTAACAAAAGCTTTAGTTGCAGCAGCAACAAGTGAAAATCCTCTTTTGAATCAATATACCAGAGGATTTGTAAATATTTTAGCTTTATGGAAAAATTTAATATTATTAATAAATTTTCATTAATTTATTAATATTATTATTAAATTTTTTTTATTCTAAAATTATTTTATTTATCAATTTAAAATTCATAATAAGTTTCATAATATTATTTTAGGGTCATCCACGTTTAGTAAATGTCGTTGCAAAATTGTATTCTAAACTATTAAACCGTACTTTAGATCCAAATAATGAAATTCTTATAACTGTTGGTGCTTATGAAGCTTTATATGCTACATTACAAGGTCATACTAATCCTGGTGATGAGTGGATAATTATTGAGCCTTTTTTTGACTGTTATGTACCTATAGTTAAGTCTGCTGGAGGAATTCCAAGATTTATTGCTTTAAAACCGGTAAGTTAATATATGTTAATATAAATTATCAATTTAAGTATAAGCTTTAAATTAAATATTTACAAAATATATTTTATATTCCAAAGAAAAGCACAAATGGACCTCTTTCTTCTGCAGATTGGATATTTGATAAACAAGAATTAGAAAGTCTTTTCAATGAAAAAACAAAAGGAATAATTATCAACACTCCACATAATCCTTTGGGAAAAGTTTTTACTTTAGATGAATTACAGTTCATTGCTAATTTGGCTAAAAAATGGAATACTCTTGTTGTATCAGATGAAGTGTACGAATGGATTGTTTATGAACCATATAAACATATTAGAATTGGTAAAGATATCTAATACATATAAATGATATTATATATCATTTTTATCAAATATTTTATTTAAATACATTTTAGCAACATTACCTGATATGTATGAACGTACAATTACAATTGGATCTGCTGGTAAAACATTCAGTGTCACTGGATGGAAATTAGGATGGGCTTATGGTCCAGCAAATTTATTATATAACTTGCAAATTGTTCATCAAAATAGTGTATATACATGTAATACACCAATTCAAGTAATTATGGAATTATTAATTGAATATCTATCGTGATATAATTTCTTAGAATTAATTTTTTTAAAATTATATTTTTTTTAATTTTTCAGGAGGCTGTAGCTATTGGATTCGAACAAGAATTAGAAAGATTCGATCAACCTGATTGTTATTTTTTTAGTTTAGCTAAAGAATTAATATCAAAACGAGATTATATGGCTAAATTTCTCAGCGATGTAGGAATGTCTCCAACAATTCCCGAAGGTGGATACTTTATGGTAGCTAATTGGACGGCTTTAAAAGACAAAGTTAATTTAGAAGAAGAAACGGATGAGAATAAAGATTATCGTTTTACAAAATGGATGACGAAAAACGTTGGTATTCAAGGAATTCCGCCATCCGCTTTTTACAGTAACGAACATAAATATTTAGGTGAAGATAATGTGCGATACTGTTTTATAAAGGTAAGAATTAATTCATAATATGATAAATAATATCGATATTATATTTTTTCTTATTAATAAGTTGATTTCTTTTTTATTGCAGAAAGATGAAAATTTGAAGAAAGCAGCTGAAATTTTAATGAAATGGAAATCTCAAGAATAGTATGACTTTTTGAGATAAAAGAAACAATTTTAATTAGTAATCATTAATTTACTAGTTTAAAATTTCATACCATATATCCCTAAGATTTTATTAAAATTTTCTGTTCAATTTTATTATTAAATACAGTACATAACTTTACATAGGTTTACATTACGAATAAAATTAGTAAAACCATAGTTATTTTTATCATACTATTACATATTTTTTATTTAGAACTATTTTATTATATATTATATTTTATGGAGAGAAATCAGCACGAAGCCATCTTTTTGCATCTTTAGTGTCAGCACCAAAAGTTTTACCAAATCTAAATATAACATTTAATATTTAAATAAAAGAGAATTTTGAAGCATATATGATGTGTTTCACTTGAATTTTTTATATTTTCCAAAATGCTTCATAAGGAAATTAGAATGATTACTTAAAAATAATTATTTACCTGAACGTTTCCCCAGGAACATGCCCAAGATAATTTGGAAGCATACCAATGTGTTTATGATATATAGTGGTAGGTTGGATTATAAGCGGTGGATCAGGACGTGAAATCGTCACTGGTGCCCATTCTGTACTTTGCCTCTTACGATACTCGGATGTAAAATCGCAAAGAGCACTGTTGGTAGCAGGAATATTTGATTTTCCAAAATGTGCATATCCGTATGGAATGTGGCCCGCATATCCTATAAATACACAATCAAATATTTATAATTCGATAATTGCAAAGAAAAATGATCAATACTCTCATGTATTCAACTCCCTTCGTACTCACTTCTTTTATTTTCTCGAATTATGGAATATCGCATTCGTTGTTCACTATCCGTGAGATTCATCTGTACTATTTATTTGTTAATATATAATTTTATAAATTCGATAATTTCATCTTTTTATATGTATGCTTATTAATCAATTTATTTTCTTGATAGATCGAAATTATGAGAAGTTTCATCGTTCATTAAATATTTCGATAAACAGTTGAATCTTACGTTATATCGCTTACGTAATTTTTACACACTACTTCGGATCATTCGAAGACAAATTCAAGCCAATAATGAATAGAATAAAATTTTAACTCACCACTGACAAAGTATTTCTTCGAATTTATGTTGTCCATGAAATAAGGTGATGGGGCGTGATCCCTGGGTGCTTCGTGTTGTTCGTCCAAAAATAAAGTTCTCATCACACCAACGCGATCAGGACGGACCGATAGCATAGGTAATTTAAATTCACTTTCTATCAGCTGTATATATTATAAGATTCAAGATTAATTTTTTTTTTTTAACAATAAAAAATTTCACATCAA